AGTCGCCAGTTCTCAGCTTCCAGCTCTACAGATTGCTCCGCGTACTAGAGTTGTACTAGAAAGTTGCCAGTTCTCAGCTTCCAGCTCACAAATTGCTCCGCGTACTAAAGTTGTACTACAATGTCGCCAGTTCTCAGCTGCCAGCTCACAAATTGCTCCACGTACTAAAGTTGCACTACAAGAGCCGCCAGTTCTCAGCTTCCAGCTCCCCAGCCAGATGCTGCGCCGGCCACGAAATCTGCACATGGAGGTTCACAAGGTGCTGTGCCTGCCACGAAATCTGCGCATGGAGGTTCACAAAGTGCTGCACCTGCCACGAAATCTGCGCATGGAGGTTCACAAAGTGCTGCACCTGCCACGAAATCTGCACATGGAGGTTCATAAAGTGCTGCGCCTGCCACGAAATCTGCACATGGAGGTTCACAAAGTGCTGTGCCTGCCACGAAATCTGCACATGGAGGTTCGCAAAGTGCTGTGCCTGCCACGAAATCTGCACGTGGAGGCTCACAAAGTGCTGTGCCTGCCACGAAATCTGCACGTGGAGGTTCACAAGTGCCTGCCACGAAATCTCCACATTGACGTTCACAAAGTGCTGCGCCTGCCACGAACTCTATACATGGAGGTTCACAAAGTGCTGTGCCTGCCACGAAATCTGCACATGGAGGTTCACAAAGTGCTGTGCCTGACATGAAATCTGCGCCTGGAGGTTCACAAAGTGCTGTGCCTGCCACGAAATCTGCGCCTGGAGGTTCACAAAGTGCTGCACCTGCCACGACATCTGCGCATGGAGGTGAACAAAGTGCTGTGCCTGCAACGAAATCTGCACATGGAGGTTCACAAAGTGCTGCGCCTGCCACGAAATCTGCACTTCAAGAGACAAGTGAAAACCTAATCACAATGGACGGCCGACCGAGCATGACCCGAGACCGTCTCGCAACAGTCGTTCCGCAGAGCTAGACTTGCCAGGTTCGAAGCCACCGGTTCTATTGACAAATACAGCATTTCGTGCGTCCGCTATCTCTCGAAAACGCATTTTGTATTGCACCTGACACGAAATCTGCACATGGAGGTTCACAAATTGCTGCACCTGCCACGAAATCTGATGAGTGGTGGTTTGATGAGTGGTGTATGATGAGTGGTGGTTTGACGAGTGGTGATGAGTGGTGTATGATGAGTGGTGTATGATGAGTGATGTAAATGTTCGTAACACGGAAGTTCCTTCTAAACTTCCTTTGACTACTAGCAAGGCCCTTGCTCCTAGGAGCGATGCACTTGTTAACACTTAGTGGATCTCCCAGTTCGCGCTCCTTTACCTAGCCGCTACCATGGGTTGTATGGTCAAGACAAGAAAAAATTATCAACAGTACATTACAGGTCAAGGACCTCATTTGACTGGGCTTGGTCATGCAAAAGTAGTATTCAATGAGGTCAAGGACCAGGTTTAACTTACAAGCCCTTGGACTTGTGGGGCGTGTATACAGTACCTGGGTTGAACTCCTTTGGCCCAGACAACTGGCTCCTTTTCTTTTGGCTGCTGGCTGCTCGCGTTCGGGGTCGTGAGGCTGGTGGAGACACGGAGCTCGATGGCGAGCCTTTGGAAAGTCCATGGCCTCGATGGCACAACCTTTCAGCTCCCGGTGGATGAGACGGTGACTGCGGCTCGGTTCGCATAACAGCTAGCTCATCCGTTCGGTCGGTTCGGTCGTTGCTAGTAGGTTGGAGGCCATCGCTATTGAAAACAAAGAAGAAAAGGACTGAAAGAAAGGAACAAAAACAGTCGGCTGTCCGGCACGGAGAGATGACGGAGTCATCGTCGTGCGGTTTTTCGGACGGCAAAGCTAAGGGTGTCCCGGTGGAGCAAGATTTCCGGCAGAGATGACTCGTATTCTTTCTTAAGCGGTAGCAAGTTGCCAGTGATGGTCCACTCTGAGCAGTCCGGAAATCTGAAATGAATCTGTCGTTCACTGCCCGATCCCCGACAGATCTCAACCTCTGTTTTGGAGGACCATGGCAAGATACGCTAAAGCCCATATGACCAACATGCAATCCGAACATGGCCCGAAATCTGAGAAAACATTCTGGCAAGTCTACAGTTGGAGGCCTTAGATTCTGAGTTAACGGGCTATTGAGCAGGCTGAAAAAGTTAATGCTGAAAGCCCCAAACAAGACTCAGTCTATCAATCATGACGTACTGACAATAGGAATACTCCATCTACAGTGTATGGATGGATTCTATTTCGCAAAAAAAGGGGATCGCAAGCTTCATGGCATGTCGATCCACCCCTTAGAACTCTTTGCTTATCCATGCATTCAACAATCGATTTGGACCCATTCTGGTACCACAGGATCCAAACACAGTTCTTTTGCAGCTTACACCTGATTTGAGTGAAAAAGATCTAATATGATCATGATCTAGTGCTGATTGCAACATACGATTTGGGTGGGTGAGGAATTTGATAGGAGATCGCCTCACATTCTTTGATGCACTAAACACGCATGGGACTTTGCTGTAACTCAGCGGAGTCTCCCATGACCAGGTGGACGACCTCTCCAAGACCATCGCAGAAAGAATCGGCATGAGAGCTGGTGGAAAGCTTGTTCTTTTCGCAGGCGGCCAGATTTTGGAGGACTCATCCAAGCTTTTGCGGCAACAAGCGTGCGGACGGGAGATCTCGTATGTCGTTCGACGGGTTTGTGCAGTGGAGGCAGCGATTGGGTTCCGCAAGGCCCTCGCAGAGGGAACAAGCAACCACACGCATGCCACAGTGACAGATGCAATCGCCTCATTGACCTTCGGCACCAAATTCAACCAGAGCTTGGAAGGTGTCACCTTACCAAGCAGCCTGCAGACTTTAACATTTGGCTTAAGCTTCAACCAAAGCTTGGGAGGTGTCACCTTGCCAAGCAGCCTGCAGACTTTGACATTCGGCCAGTTGTTCAATCAGAGCTTGGAAGGTGTCACCTTGCCAAGCAACCTGCAGACTTTGACCTTTGGGGAGGCCTTTAACCAGAGCTTAGAAGGTTTCACCTTGCCAAGCAGTCTGCAGACCTTGGTTTTTGGCATTCAGTTTAACCAGAGCTTGGAAGGTGTTACCTTGCCAATCAGCTTGGACACTCTGACCTTCGGCGGGAATTTCAACCAGAGCTTGGAACGTGTCACCTTGCCAAGCAGTCTACAGACTTTGACATTTGGCTTAGGCTTCGACCAAAGCTTGGAAGGTGTCACCTTGCCAAGTAGCCTGCAGACTTTGACCTTCGGCACCAAATTCAACCAGAGCTTGGACGGTGTCACCTTACCAAGCAGCTTGCAGACCTTGACCTTCGGCTATTTGTTCAACCAGAGCTTGGAAGGTGTCACCTTGCCAAGCAGCCTGCAGACTTTGAACTTCAGCCACTGCTTCGACCGGAGTTTGGAAGGTGTTACCTTGCCAAGCAGCCTGCAGACGTTGGCCCTCGGTGATGAGTTCAATCAGAGTATGAAAGGTGTCATTTTGCCAAGCAGCTTGCAGACTTTGACCTTTAGCAATCAAGGAGCCTGGGCTTTACAGCATTTTACCTTCGGTGCTAGGTTCAGCAAGAGCTTGGAAGGTGTCACCTTGCCAAGCAGCCTCCAGGCTTTGGCCCTCAGTGCCCATTTCAACCAGAGCTTGGAATGTGTCACCTTGCCAAGCAGCCTGCAGACTTTGACCTTGGGCCCGTTGTTCAATCAGAGCTTGGAAGGTCATACATTGCCAAGCAGCCTGCAGACTTTGACCTTCGGCACCAAATTCAACCAGAGCTTGGAAGGTGTGACCTTGCCAAGCAGCCTCCAGAATTTGACGTTCGGCGCCCATTTCAACCAAAGCTTGGAAGGTGTCACCTTGCCAAGCAGCCTGCAGACTTTGACCTT